CCTAATAAGAGAAGGGCAAGAACAGTCCTTTGTTTGAGCTTTGAAAGAAAATAGAGGTATGGGACAATTTACAGCTTGTGCTTTGTTGCTGAAAAGGGGTTTTGTAAATTTGTTGGAATAAATATTCTCAAACACATGAAGCAAAATTAAAATGCACTAAATTAAAAGTGCCTTTTAAATTAATGGCTATTGAGAAGAAGATACGAGTTGTTGTTTTAGTTGATTCACAGTAATTATTAAGATCATATTTTGTGGTTGAGATGCACAAACACGCCTTGACTGCTGCAAGCTCTTATCTCGAGAGTACAAAGAGCAGTGTCTGTTCCAATCCAGCGAACACAGCTCTGGCAACTCTGGCTGTTCTCTGCGTAGGTAAGTAAACAAGGCATGAGCGCGCCCAGCAGAAGACAGGGAGCATAGCGTGACAGAGGGCTCTGTAAGATGCTTAGAGGGAAAATATATTAACAATGGGCCTGAAAGAAATTTTTTCCTGTCCTTAAAAGTGCTTTTTAGATTGCCGCAGGCATATGAAGAAACATCTTGGTGGGTTGGGGATTTTGGAATTGGCGTCATAATTTGCAAGTGAAAACATATTTCCTAGCCTGTTGGGGTTTTTTCAATGATCACATGAACTCAAAATAACATCTTGTCGTATAGTAATGCTGATTTATTTCGCAAATATTTCTAATTACCTGTGGATTTACTAGGGTATGCATTACAATCTGTACCTTCTAGATTTTGACACTTGCTCAGCAAGTCACCATTTACACAAGAGTATATTAGCTTTCACCAAATTTAGAAAATTTTTGTTTAAAGTAGAAACTAGTGGCTATTTGTTGTTATAGTTACCAGAAGACTAGTAAATAAAAAGACCTCACGTGGGCTATTTGTTTTGTTGTGTATCATCTCACATTTTAAAAGGGATTTTTGTTTCTTATTCCACTAGGCAAATGTTCCATTATTATTATTAATCATTTTTATTTTGGCCATAGAACATCATTTTAAAGCATTTTTGAAAGAGCTGGAATTCAGAACCTGTAAGACTTTTCCATCCCTTAAACCCAATCTCCTGTTACAGCTGGCACTCTTACACATGGCTCTCTCTCATATGACTCCTTTCGTATCCTGATCCACCCTAAATTTAATCAGGTGTTGGGTATTTTTTTTTTTGTCCCGCTGTCCTTACTGGAAACCTGACCCAGAGCCTCACTCTTCTGATAGGAATCTTCTGATTTCTGGGGTAAGTGCATCCCTGGCTAATTTACACCCATTTGTTGTTGTGCCAACAGCATTCTTTAATGTACGTAGTTAGTTTTCTTCCTGGGTTCTTAAACCTCATTTTGTGTTTAGGGAACAATCCTATCTCTTCGGTGTTCATTTTATTAATGGTTTATTTCCCAAAGATAGACTTTGCGTTCTACCAAATTCTGTGTCTTTCCCACTTTGAATTAATCTCCCTTGTGCAGGAGTGAGCAAATTGTGCACAAGGTGTGCATCTTAGCAAAGTGACATTAATGCTTCCTTATTTCTTTTGGGAGCACCTCACTTCACGCATTAACAAGTGATTCTCTTTTTCTCACGTCTGCAGCACGCTGGTGGTTCATGCCAAACACCCCAGCTCTTCTTCCCTTCCATTTCCAGCTGTGGAGACCCAAAGAATGCCATTTTTCTCTGGCAGAAAAATCCGATTATTTCATAAGTGCATGACCTTGTGCTTTGTATGTTTGATCCTTTCCTTAATCCTCATCTTTATTTATGATGCTTCTGACTGTCACATCAGCAAATGTTCTTAAAACATTTCTAGTGGACCATGTCACTGTGCTGTGGTCACTAGTGAAAATGTTTAGTAAGATTGGCTTGTAGGCAGAACTACTGTTCCCTCTGGCCAGTTACTTCTCTTTCTGGTTTCCGCTGAGAGGTTGAACTTTGGGAGTTCAATTCAGACCTCAGCAGGAGTCAGGATCTCAACGCCGTCATCCCGAGCCCTGTGCCAGTCCTGATCTACCAAGCAGGATCAGCGCTTCAGCTGTCATTGACACTCACTGGACCATACATGTTCCTGACCATACATGTAAGACAAATCCTCTAGTGAATGGAGTCCCCCCGCCTGCAGTAGACAGGTGTTGGTGTATTATATATTTCAGCCATTAGGTAAAAGTTGCAGATTATCTTGTTCTTATTTAGCGCTCTGTTGCTGGTCCATTTGATTTTTTTTTTTTTTTCCCCCCCCATGCTGAATTCTGGAGCAGTTTGTTAATTTTAATGTTTGGTACAAAGAGAATGTCATTCCAGTGACCAAATGCTCCTGTAAAAGCACAGTGTTATATTCCGTCCCTTCTGCTGTGAATACCAAACACAGCCTGCTGATATATTGAGACCAAAGTATAGTAGTGGGAGCAAGACACTGGTCAAATTCCAGTAGTTGTTAATGGAAAGTGTTGCTGCTCCGAGCTTGGATGCTTGATGTTTTAGCCTTGATAGCTTTGTGGCTATAGACAAGACCTAGGAGATTCATACTTTTCCTGACTGAGTGTATAAACTTTCAAAGAGACATTTGACAGACCTGTGACAGATCTGTGCTTTTGTTTTTCCATATGTAATGTTATTTATATCCCAGGCTAATAATAATGCACTATATCCTATATAAGCTTTTTTTAACTACGAACTCTTTGGATCCGGCATTCTGCGTGGTGTGAGTTTGTCATCGCTGTAGTGTCGGAGCAGCTCTGTGCGTTCCACAACACAGGTAGCACCTCTCAAGTGTGACTTACCCTTCCACTCTGCAGAGGGGAGGTGCAATGTGCCTGTTGTTTTGATCTAGTGGGGGTGAGCAGGAGCAGTCGCTTGCTTGTTTTAAATGTACGCCCTGCTCGGCGTATCTGTTAGAAGAGGTGAGTGACAGAAGCGTGCCTTGGAGAGGAAGGTGTTTGGGTTTGCCATGGTCCAGAGTTTCTGTGTGAGGTCCCTCCACAACTGGAGAGGCCACCGTGAAAAGTTTTTCTCTCATGGAAAGTGGGATAGCTATCCTGAGCCCAGGTTTTCAGGTATCTTGAAGAGAGGACTTTGGGATCATGGACTTGATTCAAAGCTCCATGAGACAGCAGCACAGGCAGCAGGTGTCAGGTCATTGACATATTTTATTGAAACTTAGTTGGAAGGAACTTCCTTGTCATCAAGCTATGTTTAAAAATGTTATCCATTGAGCATACGTTGCACGATTTTCACCCTGTCACTAGTATGTTTCTAAAATGCAGGCTATGTTGATCAGCCAAAGGCTGGTTCATCTGTCACCGTGATGTTCTGCATTCCTCTGCCTGCCACCACCAACTAGAAGTGTTTTGTCTTACTTAAGTCTGTTTCAAGTAACAATTCATGTCAAGCTAACGTTGTTCAAACATAAGGCCGCTAATGGTAGCGGCCTGGCTTTGTGAGGGGAAGGATGGATGAATGAGCAGAGTTTCTGCAGGAATCCTTGATGTGTTTCATGTATTAAAACATATCATGGTCTTTATTAGCCTAATGCA